TGAATAAATGGTTAATATTTCTTACATTAGAAATTTTAAAAATGGTTAATATTTTAAACATATTAAATTTAAATATATTAAATAGTTAATATATTAAAAATGGTTTATATTTGAAAAAAAAAATCATAAAAATAAAATGGTAAAAAATGGTTAGCATATCATATTTTATTGTAATTCATATTTTAATGAGTAAAATATGCTTATCTAAGAAAAATTTCGAAAAAATTAAAAAAAATTCAAAAATAAAATAAAACTTACAAAGACACGTAAAGTGACAAATGCACCCGAGACATCCTTTTTATTGGTGAATCCAAGACCAACATAATATGGCATAATAGCAATTACATCAATCATGCTCATTATTGAATGTAAAAATTTGCACCTATCTGGAGCAGCAAATAAACGTAATAAATATTCCACGGTGAAAATGATCACACATGCAGTATCAAGGACGAAAAACTGAAAATTGATAATACAAAATTTAAAATTTAATGATATATATATATTTTTTTTTCAATACAACTATTTCTAATATTTTGTTTTCAATATGGAAAAAAAAAAGGAAAAAATGATTTGTTTAATTTTATTTTTAAGAAAATTTCAAAAACAAAATAATATATTCGTATAAAAAGGAAGATATGTTAGGAAGAGAAAAAAAAAATGGAATTTGATCATTTAAAATTATTAAAATTATCCTATGTTAACTTTATTTTCTTGCGAAAAAAAGAAGAAAAAAAGCGAAAAAATTAGTTTTAAATATTATCAAATCTTATCCACGCAAATAATTGTGATAAAATAATGAATGTTTTAATACATAAAGCATTTTGGTTGAATATAATTTGCAATTAATTTTTTTGTGCTTTTTTTTTACGCAAAATATTATAGTTAACACTGATAATTTTGATAAATTTAAATGAGCAAAGTTCTTTTCTTTTTCTCTTTTATAACATGTAAGAAAAGAAAATTAATACATAAAGCATTTTGGTTGAATATAATTTGCAATTAATTTTTTTGTGCTTTTTTTTTTACGCAAAATATTATAGTTAACACTGATAATTTTGATAAATTTAAATGAGCAAAGTTCTTTTCTTTTTCTCTTTTATAACATGTAAGAAAAG